GAATTCATTGTAAACATGTCCTCATTTTCCACTCTCTCAATCCCCTTAAGTATTTTATACGTCGCTATCATGTCACTCCTCTCTCTCTCTCTCTCTCTCTCTCTCTCTCTCTCTCTCTCTCTCTCTCTCTCTCTCTCTCTCTCTCTCTCTCTCTCTCTCTCTCTCTCCTTCGTCAGGTTTAGTTCTTTCAGTCCTTCTTCATACCTATCCCATGCAATTTTGGGACGAGCCTCGTTACAAGCTTATGAACTTTTTCGAGTTTTCGTATGTTTTTTTTTTTACATGGGAGATCCACGATGGGGCAGCATATTCTTAAATTGGTCTCACGCAGGCTGTGTTCAGTGATCTAAATGCCTCCCTATTTGGGTTCCTGAATGCTGTTCTGACGTCCTATTTATATGGGCCTCTGGGGTTAGGTTTGGTGTTATATCCTCTCTCAGGTCTTTCTCGCTAGTCGTTCCCTTCATTGTGTACTGCCCTTTTGGTTTCCTGTCACCTGTTTCATTTCTATCACCTTACATTTGCGCACACTGGTGTTGAACTCAAGTAGCCGTTTCTCGGACCAACTCTGCAGCTTGGTTAAGTCATCTTCAAAACATCTTGAAATCCTCACCTGTCACAACTCATCTCATTAGTATCTCATTTCTCATCAGCAAATATCTAAATATAAAATTTAACTCCTCTTGATAGGTCATTTAAATAATGAGAAATAGTATGGGTCTCAGTACCTTGAGATACTCCGCTTCTTTCCCTATGTCAGTCCCACTTCTCCCCTCTCTCACTCCTGTCTGTTAGATAATTTCTTTGCACATGCTAATTCTTTTGTGCTTACTCCCACCTGCCTCACGAGTTTATGTAGTTTTCGAGTTTTCTCTTATTATGTACAGTATCAAAGGCTTTTTGACAGTCTAGAAATACGTCTCCTTACTGCCTCTGCTGTTACCTCAATATTTGATAGTCTCTCGTCTAAGGTAACTTCCTCTTCTAGCATTGGGAGCTGTTCAAGTTCAGTTGCGAACGCTCCATGGAAGCTGGTATTAAGTTCCTCACAAATTTCATTATCATTTCTCGTATATTCACTTCCCCTTTTTCGTAACAAGTCACTGGGTTGTTCACTGTCATTGTCCTTCTTATATGATTATATAGGAGTTTTTTGTTGTTTTTAGCTTTACATGCAATACCATTTTCATAGTTTCTCTCCGTCATTTTTCGTATATCTACGTATTCGTTCCTTGGTCTGTTGTATCTATTCCTGTTTTCTTCTGTATTGCACTCCATCCTGTTTTCGTTTTTGCTTCTTGCCACTGTCTATTAAACCATGGGTTATTATATTATCTAATACTTTGTTGTTTTAATGTTTAAATGGAATTTCTTTTCTGCCTCTTGGCATCTCGGTTTGACTTGGTCCATCATTTCCTGGATTGTATTCACTCTAAATTCTTCTTCCCATTGTAAATACCTCGCAGATGTGTGTGTGTGTGTGTGTGTGTGTGTGTGTGTGTGTGTGTGTGTGTGTGTGTGTGTGTGTGTGTACTCACCAACTTCTACTCACCTAGTTGTGTTTGCGGGGGTTGAGCTCTGGCTCTTTGGTCCCGCCTCTCAACCGTCAATCAACAGGTGTACAGATTCCTGAGCCATTCGGGCTCTATCATATCTACACTTGAAACTGTGTATGGAGTCAGCCTCCACCACATCACTGCCTAATGCATTCCATTTGTCAACCACTCTGACACTAAAAAAGTTCTTTCTAATATCTCTGTGGCTCATTTGGGCACTCAGCTTCCACCTGTGTCCCCTTGTGCGTGTGCCCCTTGTGTTAAATAGCCTGTCTTTATCTACCCTATCAATTCCCTTCAGAATTGTGTGTGTGTGTGTGTGTGTGTGTGTGTGTGTGTGTGTGTGTGTGTGTGTGTGTGGGGAGAGGTCATGAGTGAGGAAGAAGGTTGAGGTTAGGAAGGTAGGAGTGGTGAGGAAAATGAGGTCAGTAGGGCAGAAGCCAAGTACAATGAGACGTAAACAAGAGAGATGAGGCAAGATGATGATGTTGGGAATGAAGAAATGATAAAAAATGAGGCTCGGAAGGAAGACGCAAGTAGATAATGAGGTTACGACGGAAGGAATGAGAGAAAACTTTTTTCTCTTGGTGTGTGTAAGATGGTGAGTGTTCCCATCACTACACCCCACACACCATCCTTCTGCTCCTCCTCTCTTTATTCCTCGTCCTCTCTTGTCATCCTTTCTCTTTCTTTATCATCCTTCTCTCTCTCTCTCTCTCTCTCTCTCTCTCTCTCTCTCTCTCTCTCTCTCTCTCTCTCTCTCTCTCTCTCTCTCTCTCTCTCTCTCTCTCTCTCTCTCTCTTAATCATCTTCCTATCTCTCTCTCTCTTTAAACCCCCTCCAAACACACACACAGACACACACACACACACACACACACACACACACACACACACACACACACACACAGAATGATTGATTAGATTAAGTTCATAAATATACAGACATTTTACATTTACAAATTAACAACTAACATAAAGCTTAAAGTTATATTTCTGAGTCATGTAATAACAGGAACATTTATCTCAAAATACAACAACTTTTGTTTGTTTTGTATATATATACATATAGATAATATAGATAATATACAAGATCAGCAAGTCCAGGAGAACTTGCTGAACTTGTGGAGTCTCAAGTTGGTGGTCCAACTTGAGACTGTACATAAAGACAGCTCAAGTGACAGGCACTTGATTGCTTGTCAAGAAGCCAGGTCTTTTCCACCATAATTTCTTAATGGCAGCAGCTGAGGGGGAACTATAGTAGAAAGCGATACGATGACAAGTTACAAGAAGTGTGGGTGAGAGGATGGGAGAATGGTCGGGTATAGTGGTGTTGGTCTGGGCGACCCAGCCACAGTTAGTAAGGTGGTAAGGTAGTTATCAGGAGAAAGCGCTAAACCTGTGCGAGTGTGTGTGTGTATGTAGCTGTCGCTTGTAGGTGAGTGTATTTAGGTGAGTACATGCACCTGGTTCGTTTGTTTATATGTAGAGGATGATGTTGACATACTCCAGTGCCCAGTCAATCCTCATCCTCTCTCTCTGTCTCTGTCTCTGTCTCTCTCTCTCTCTCTCTCTCTCTCTCTCTCTCTCTCTCTCTCTCTCTCTCTCTCTCTCTCTCTCTCTCTCTCTCTCTCTCTCTCTCTCTCTCTCTCTCTCTCTCTCACATAATTTGGACGTGGCAAGTCTTTCATGTTTACATTTCCTATTAGTGCCCCACCAACCTCGAAATCTTCTCCCCCCCCTTCCCCCCCCCTTCCTCTATCAACATCTACCTCCACCTCCTCCCCCTCTTCTTCTCCGTCTCCTTCACCATTGTCACCTACACCACCACTGTCATCTACACCAGTTTATATATATATATATATATATATATATATATATATATATATATATATATATATATATATATATATATATATATATATATATGCCAGAATTCTGGAATATATTCTGGAATTCCTGCCATAATTCAAGCGGGAACATCGTGCCAGCGAGCCACATTCTCACCCTAACAACTATTTCTTGTCACTGCTTGCAGGCTAAATATTTTAAAAGCGAAAATGTGAAAACATATGGTTTTCTAATAGTTATATATATATACACCATTAAACACTGCTTCATGGAAAATTAACATACATTTTCTGCTATTCATACTTTGGCCACAGTAGCATAAAATGTGATCCTCTCCACAACTTGGAAGGGGGTTTATCACAGCAAATGGGTAAGTATTATAATTTTTTTAAATTTCACAAGAAGGGAAGAGAGTGGCGAGAAGTTTGAGAGGGGGTGAGGTTATAATTTACTGTATTATAACATATATTACTGTATTATAACAGATATTACTGTATTATAACATATTACTGTATTATAATACATCTATTACTGTAATTGTTTGAAATCGTTTGTGGTGTTTGTTAACGGGTAAATATAAATATATTGTAGAGGATTTATATCAATAGAAAAAAATGAGCTTGATATTAGATGTTGTAATTTTCGAGAGCATCAAAGTTGTATGACTTTATGGCTTACTACGTGGTGCTTGTTGGCAAAGTAAAAACAGTCACAATATCAACTTGGAGTTCAGTGTTTACATTTGTGATGGGCAGAGTTGCGGTGGTTGTGAGGTATTTTAAACAAACCAAGTACTATTATCAAATGTAGACCCGCTTTTGTTAAATGTTTGAGTTTTTCTCACTGCCTTTACGTCCTGTGAGTGACGTGTGGTGGGTGTGAAGCACCACAGGCGCCTGTACACGTCCTGTGAGTGACGTGTGGTGGGTGTGAACCACCACAGGCGCCTGTACACGTCCTGTGAGTGACGTGTGGTGGGTGTGAACCACCACAGGAGCCTGTACACGTCCTGTGAGTGACGTGTGGTGGGTGTGAAGCACCACAGGAGCCTACAGTGCCTGGCACTAGAAATACGTCAGACGTGGCACCATGGCTGGCAGGATATTGTACATAATTAACAAATAGTAATTTTCGAGCTTTGGGCATCGTATTTCAGGCGTTCCCGCCCTTCATCAGGTTGTGATCGGAGTGTTAAAACTCGAGATTTAATCCCTTCCGCTGACAAATTATCCCTCGCGCCGGTGATCGGACATTACGACGCACGAGTAGGCACAGGGAGGGAGGCGCCGTGGGTATGGGGAGGGAGGCGCCGTGGGTATGGGGAGGGAGGCGCCGTGGGTATGGGGAGGGAGGCGCCGTGGGTATGGGGAGGGAGGCGCCGTGGGTATGGGGAGGGAGGCGCCGTGGGTATGGGGAGGGAGGCGCCGTGGGTACAGGGAGGGTGGCGGCGATGGGGAAGGGAGGTGGCGGCGTGCGGATGGGAGGAGCTGGGCGCCTCATCATCAACTCTTGTAGCGGCGTGGGGGCTCCATCACACCGCCTCCCACAGCCAATCCCAGCCACGCCACCCAACGCGGCACTCCCATTGGTTAAGGTCACCCTTTAGGCCACACAACGGATGATATTACCGACGTAATATATGCAGACACTCAACCTGTTGGACCAGAAGCACCGGGACAAGTGGCGGAGTAGCACCAACACGCTCAGTAGAAATCTTGAACTCCGATATACGCTCTGAAATCTTGTCGGTCTTGATATATTACGTCCACTAGTGTGTGTTTGTGTGTGTCAAGTCGGTGCTGTATGTGCGCGCTGATAGGAATCCTGTGATATTGCGGTTTTATCCCTGCACAAACGGTTCTCTCTGTTCAGCGGAATAAGGCAACGCTAGAACCACAATGTTGAAAACTGAGAGCGTGCACAAACTGATGCCGTCTGAAGTGTGCGACAAGATCAAGACGGAGGTCATGGGACAGCAGCACCTGAGCGCCACGTCGGAAGGAGTCGAACCCACTGTAACTCTGGAGGATCGGGAACTTTGGACCCGCTTCCAGGCTCTCACCAACGAGATGATTGTTACCAAGTCCGGCCGGTGAGTGTCCTGGTGTGGTGGTGTTTGTGAGGGGGTTGTGGTGGTGTTTGTGAGGGGGTTGTGGTGGTGCTTGTGAGGGGGTTGTGGTGGTGCTTGTGAGGGGGTTGTGGTGGTGCTTGTGAGGGGGTTGTGGTGGTGCTTGTGAGGGGGTTGTGGTGGTGCTTGTGAGGGGGTTGTGGTGGTGCTTGTGAGGGGGTTGTGGTGGTGCTTGTGGGGGGGTTGTGGTGGTGCTTGTGAGGGGGTTGTGGTGGTGCTTGTGATGGGGTTGTGGTGGTGCTTGTGAGGGGGTTGTGGTGGTGCTTGTGAGGGGGTTGTGGTGGTGCTTGTGAGGGGGGTTGTGGTGGTGCTTGTGAGGGGGTTGTGGTGGTGCTTGTGAGGGGGTTGTGGTGGTGCTTATGAGAGGGTTGTGGTGGGGCTTGTGAGGGGGTTGTGGTGGTGCTTGTGAGGGGGTTGTAGTGGTGTTTGTGAGGGGGTTGTGGTGGTGCTTGTGAGGGGGTTGTGGTGGTGCTTGTGAGGGGGTTGTGGTGGTGCTTGTGAGGGGGTTGTGGTGGTGCTTGTGCGGGGGTTGTGGTGGTGGTTGTGAAGGGATTGTGGTTGTGCTTCTGAGGGGGTTGTGGTAGTGCTTGTGAGCGGGTTCTGGTGGTGTTATGGTGGTGCTTGTGAGGGGGTTGTGGTGGTGTTTGTGAGGGGGTTGTGGTGGTGTTTATGAGGGGGTTGTGGTGGTGTTTGTGAGGGGGTTGTGGTGGTGCTTGTGAGGGGGTTGTGGTGGTGCTTGTGAGGGGGTTGTGGTGGTGCTTGTGAGGGGGTTGTGGTGGTGCTTGTGAGGGGGTTGTGGTGGTGCTTGTGAGGAGGTTGTGGTGGTGCTTGTGAGGGGGTTGTGGTGGTGCTTGTGAGGGGGTTGTGGTGGTGCTTGTGAGGAGGTTGTGGTTGTGTTTGTGAGGAGGTTGTGGTGGTGCTTGTGAGGGGGTTGTGGTGATGCTTGTGAGGAGGTTGTGGTTGTGTTTGTGAAGGGGTTGTGGTGGTGCTTGTGAGGGGGTTGTGGTGATGCTTGTGAGGAGGTTGTGGTTGTGTTTGTGAGGGGGTTGTGGTGGTGCTTGTGAGGGGGTTGTGGTGATGCTTGTGAGGAGGTTGTGGTTGTGTTTGTGAAGGCGTTGTGGTGGTGCTTGTGAGGGGGTTGTGGTGATGCTTGTGAGGAGGTTGTGGTTGTGTTTGTGAGGGGGTTGTGGTGGTGCTTGTGAGGGGGTTGTGGTGATGCTTGTGAGGAGGTTGTGGTTGTTTGTGACGGGGTTGTGGTGGTGCTTGTGAGGGGGTTGTGGTGATGCTTGTGAGGGGGTTGTGGTGGTGCTTGTGAGGGGGTTGTGGTAGTGCTTATGAGGGGGTTGTGGTGGTGATTGTGAGGTTCTGGTGGTGCTTGTGAGGGGGTTGTGGTGGTGATTGTGAGGGGGTTGTGGTAGTGCTTATGAGGGGGTTGGTGGTGGTGTTTGTGAAGGGGTTGTGGTAGTGCTTGAGAGGGTTGTGGTGGTGATTGTGAGGGGGTTGTGGTGGTGCTTGTGAGGAGGTTGTAGTCATGTTTGTGAGGGGGTTGTGGTGGTGTTTGTGAGGGGGTTGTGGTGGTGCTTGTGAGGGGGTTGTGGTAGTGCTTGTGAGGGGGTTGTGGTGGTGCTTGTGAGGGGGTTGTGGTGGTGCTTGTGAGGGGGTTGTGGTAGTGCTTGTGAGGGGGTTGTGGTAGTGCTTGTGAGGGGGTGAGGGGGTTGTGGTAGTGCTTGTGAGGGGGTTGTGGTAGTGCTTGTGAGGGGGTTGTGGTAGTGCTTGTGAGGGGGTTGTGGTGGTGCTTGTGAGGGGGTTGTGGTGGTGTTGGAGGGCGTGTAATGGTTCACCCCCTGACACATACATATATTACACACACCCTTTATCCATGTAGTAAGTGATTATAGAAAGGTTCGAGAGTCACATTTCAGCTCTAGAACTTAACCTCAATATTATCATAGTCAATCACGTTACAGTGTTAGCGAGGTCGTCAAACCCTGAGAGGCTTTACTCTCGAGATATTGGAAATTTGTATATTGGAAAGACGGTTTAATATTGTTATGGAGACCACATCCTGGCCCTGCTGCCTCTGTGTGGGCACCCTGGCCCCGCTGCCTCTGTGTGGGCCCCCTGTGTCCGCTGCCTCTGTGTGGGCACCCTTGCCCCCTCTGCCTCAGTGTGGGCATCCTTGCCCTGCTGCCTCTGTGTGGGGCACCCTGTGCCTGCTACCTCAGTATGGGCCCTCTGGCCCCGCTGTCTCTGTGTCGGCCCCCTAACCCTGCTGCCTCTGTGTGGGCCCCCTGGCCCTGCTGCCTCTGTGGGCACCCTGGCCCCGCCTCTGTGTGGGCCAGCCCCCCTGGCCCCGCTGCCTCATTGTGGGCCACCTGGCCCCGCTGTGTGGGCCCCCTGGCCCCGCTGCTTGTGCTCACTCGACCGACAACATACCAAATACCGGTTTAACAACAATAAAATTACAAATTCTGAATGCGACAAATATTTACGAACAATGATATGCAAGAATCCTCAGCCAAACAATCAATATATAAATTTTCAAAGTGAAACTCGTAAGATAAACTGGGAAACATATCTTGAAGCGTTAGTAACAATACATCTAATGTCAATTATTCAGCTTTATCATGCCTATGTTAGAACTTTCTGACAGTTTTAGAGCGCAAGTTTTGGTCGCCGTATTGATAAATAAACCCAGATTCCAAGAGAAGGCAAGATAAAGGTAACTTGGCTTTGTGTGAAGACAAGATGAGGTAACACCTCACGGTAGAAGCCTTACTCATAAAGAGTGAGGCTCTTTAAGAAGAAGGTCTTAAGGCTAAGGAAAGGCGGCCGTACATTCTCTACAGCTCTGCTGGACCGCCAGAAGGTGTCCGTAGCCTAGGCTGCTGCCGGGCCTCCACAGCCTCGCCCGCGCTAGTAATACAACACATATCCATATGTAGTTTATGGATATGTGGATAATAAAAACACATATTAGTTCATATCCAGCGACACTGATGGGTATACGTAGTCTCCGCGGCCTGGTGCCCTCTTTTAATAATTACTTTAATCAATTTATTGAGCTACAATTGTATATTAGAACGTTACCGACATTCAAAGTTCAGTTTTAAAACACAATACTTTTTTAAATTTTAAAATTTAAAACACTGTTTTTATATCAGCTTCACTTTATTATTTGCTTCAGTTTTTTTTTTTAACTTTGAAAATTATTTTTTTTATCTAAATAAATTGAATAATTTTACCTTAATTCATTTAATAACTTTTAGCCTAATACTTTATTATTTGTTTTAATTTATTTAGCTTAATAAATTTATGATTTGTTTAAATTTTTTTAACTGAATCAAAATAATATTTTTATATTAGATTTGAGCTTGATAAAATGAACATTTATTTGTAATTTTTAGCTAATTATATTTATTATATTTATTTTAGTTTTCATTCCTAGTAGTGATGTAAGTAGTAGCCGGCAAAACATTTTTTGTACTAGTAATTTTATAGTTCAGAAAAATATATAGCTCAATTCAATTTTAAATATTCTAAGGCCTAGTATAGCATATTATATATATATATATATATATATATATATATATATATATATATATATATATATATATATATATATATATATATAATGTGTGTGTGTGTGTGCACTATACTAGGGCATATATATAAGATAGCATATATTAGGCCTAGGATTACTAAGTTAGGTCTGGTTAGGTGTTATATTTATGTTGATGTTACAAAAAAGTGTTCTGGTTTCTCCAAGTTCAGTAATTCAAAACTACAACTTTCTGGTGGTCCATCACTACATATTGGTACTTTCTCCAAATTGTTACTATAAGTGTTTTCATTTTAGGAGGATGGGATGCATATATCAAGTGCACAGTGCTTTTATATAAATAAAATATTATTAAATAAAACAGGATAAAATCCCACTCTTATGTATATGGGCTTTTTATGTAAAAATTGACACAAAAGCCTTTCACACTCTCCTGAGTGTTTTATCAAGGTCTGAGTATATGGTTCAGGTGAGACTTATATATCAACGACAAATGACATTGGCGGACATTGATAAACACAACGCCCTGAACTTGTCCGATAAACAGTGAGAGGGTTTGTCATTGTTTTGCTCTCATTACGTCAACAAGAGACTTTGGAGTGAGTGTTGGGACACGACACTCTCAGCTTCACGTCAACGAGGCGGGGGCGGTTCCTGGTGATCCACCAGCCTCGTCCTCTTAATGAACATTTTGTACGCTACTGACCCCTCTTAGGGGGAATTACAATCACCGCAATATTGACGCTTAATGGGCGCCAGTAGGTTCGGTGGGTAGCCTAGATATTGACGTTTCCGGTTAGGCTAAACCGGTGCATTATTTTACAGGGTGGTGATCGAAAGAACGAAGACGCCCGCAGTTGCGTAGATCCGGCCACGGTCGCGTAGAACCGGCCACAGTCGCGTATAACCGGCCACAGCCGCGTAGAACCGGCCACAGTCGCGTAGAACCGGCCACAGTCGCGTAGAACCGGCCACAGTCGCGTAGAACCGGCCACAGTCGCGTGGAAACAGTTAAACTAATCTCGCGGTTTTTGCGGTGAATAAGAACCTTTTTTTAACGAAAATCGAAAATATTCATAATATATTACGTCTGGTTCACCTAAATCAAGTTGGCAACGCATTTTGGCGACCACATGTGGCCAACGGGTTATCCGTGCGGGCTCTAGAGCGGCCAAGAGTAAATAATTAGGTAAATATTGGATTGGTTCAGAACACAATTAGGTAAATACCGGATTGGAAGTTGGAATGTAGACTTGCGGAACAGGTTACCGGGTAGCATGGTAAACACGCGCCAGGATAGTTTATAGTGTTGCTTATAAACAAATATATGAGTACGGGTTAGGGATAAACAGAAAACGTCACGTATGAACTATACTAAGCTTTCTTCATTTTGATTATAATA